AAACCTGCCCGGTGCTGCAGCCCAACCTGGGGCGGAGGGGGGGGCGGCGGCTAAGGGCTTCTTGTCCATTTCCAGCGGAGAAAATGGAGCAGAATGGCCAGGGCTGATGTCCCCAAGGTGGCTCCAGTGGGCCTTCTGAGATTCTCTTAGTCTAAAAAGTGACCCAGGAAGCTGATGCACTCCAGAACCAGGGGCCAGCCTCAAGCAGAATCCAGATTTCCCAGAATGCTCCTGGGATGTGCAAACACCCCAGCGGAGGGGGCTCATTTTCCCAGGCCAAAGAGAGGACAGCCAGCTGAGGGGGCAGAGAGCCTCCGAAGACCCCAGAGGGGTGATGAGGACAACCTTGCTCCTTTGCATCTGAGAAATGAAGCTTTGGGACAGGACAGCCATTTTGTGAGAGTGCTGTTACAAGCTCTTGAAACTCCAGGTGTGCTTTTCTGTCCCCCCAAGGTGAACTCTGGAGCAATGCTTGTACTTTATCCTGACAAGAGCCCTGCACAGTTGGTTAGGCTGAGGGCCCAAGGCCGCCTTTGTGGCTCAGCAGGCAGGTCAGTTCCGAAAGGGCAGAACGCTAGCCAGTTGCCCTCCTCTCACCCAGAGACCTTTCTGGTGATGCCAGGCACAGGACCAAACACCAGACCTTTGTCAGAGCAGCAGAGGGAACTGCTTCTCTTAAACCAGATTGTTGATGCATGTGACTGTCCACAAGGACAACTGTCCTGGCCAAGAATCCTCACCCAGGGCTTTCACCCCCACTGAGCGACACCCCCTCCCTGCCACTTACGGCCTTCTGCATTGCGTTGACCCATTGTGTGGTTCATAATGCATCCGCTTTGTATCCTAGGATGTCAAGCTCAGATGATCTAGCTGGTTGCTTCACCAACTGGGGAAAGGGGGTTGCTTCAGAACACAAAGCACAGCCTTCAGGAATCTGGAATTCTGCTTGTTTTAACATGTATTCTCACTTAGCGCTGAAATGACTCTGGGGCTTCCTCTTTTTCATCAGGGCGTGTTGCAAATAAATACTTAGATAAAATGGATTGCAAAACCTCCCTCTCTTCCCCATGCTTCCCTCTCTATCCAGACTAATTATTCTAGAATTGTGCCCTGCTCAGACATTTTTGTAGCCACGTAAGCAAGAGATGCTCCTTGGTGGCCCTTTATGCACGCCTCGGTAGCGCCCAAGGAGAAGAAGGCAATTGCTGCTTGGAGCGTCCTGCAAGAATCGGCTCCACATTGCCAACTCAAGCCCTACCGCTGAGTGAGTGAGTGAATGAATGAATGAATGGCCTTTATTGTGGTCACCGACCAATAAAACCTGCCTATAACATAAAAATACAAAAGGAGTTTCTATAAGATGATAGAACATAGGCATATGAGTAAGACAATTGGAAGAAGAAAAATAGCTAGAATACTTTATGCAAAGAACCAAAAAATGAATCAACTTGATAAAATACTGGACCTATAAAATACTTGAGGTAATATAATGCTTAAGCACTCCAATATTAATGTACCACTATTTTAATATACTACTAAATGTTTAAAATTTGAAGCC